CTAAGGCAAAAACCTCTATTACAAAATAGAAATAAATTTTGCACAGCAAAAGACACAGTAATTAGTGTGAATCAACAACCCTTGGAATGGGAGAATATTTTTGTCAACTATGCCTCAGATAAGGGACTAATAACCAGAATATACAGGGAACTCAAGCAGTTTACTGGGAAAAACAAAAACAAAACCAAAAATGATCAACACAATTAAAAATGGGAAATTGAGCTGAACAAAAAACTCTTTAAGGAAAACATATGAACAGCCAAAAAGTATTTGAAAAAATGCTCAACATCCCTCATCTTAAGGAAGATACAGATCAAAATCACAATGAGATACCACCTAACTCCTGTCAGAATGGTGAAGAATAAAAATACAAAAAAATGGTCAGTGCTGTCAGGGTTGTGGTTAAAGGGGAACTCTCCTATGCTGCTGGTGGGAATGTAAATTGGTCCAGTCACTGTGGAGAACAATATGGAGGTTCCTCAAAGATCTACAAATAGAATTACCATATGATCGAGCAATTTGACTCCTGGGTATGTACCCAAAGAATAGGCAAATGCTCAGTTGGAAAAGTACTTGTACATCTATGTTTATTCACAATTGCTAAGACATTGAACCCACCCAGATGTTCATGAACAGATGAATGCATTGAAAAAGTGTGATGCATATACTCTATGGAATACTACTCAGCCATAAAAAATGAGACCCTGATCTTGGAAAGTGGACGAATATGAAAGATTTATTGCTGAGTGAAGCAAACTAGGCTATGAAAGAGAGACAATGTATGTCTCCAGTTAATATATACCATCTGTCCATATTCTATGGTACAAGTTGAAGATCATAGGATATAGTAGCATGAAAATTGGTTATGAATACTGAAGATAGTGTAGGAAGAGAGCAGGAGAAGAGGGAGAGTTTGAGGGAAGAAATTAGGGAGAGAAATAGAGAATCAAGACATTTATGGGACACAGAAATGGATTATTGTATGCTGAGGATAACATGTATAATATAAATGGGAAATAGCTAACATGTATAGATGAGAAACTGGGCTCAATGAAAAACTGGACTGATGTGAAGTGTATTCATGCTGGGTAAATTCACTTTACAAGTTAAGTGTTATATAGTGAAATTTAAAAAATTTACGTTAAAAAAAATTAAAGATCATGGCTCCTGTGAACTAGTCATTTCACATGCCGTGTGGTTTTCTATTTTGTGCTTTTTTTTAAAAAAAAAGAAAAACAATAATTATAATAATTTATTTAGTTTTGTTTTCCTTCTTTTTTTCTGTTCTTTTGTTGTTGTTGTTGTTGTTGATTCTCTCTCTCTTTTCCGTTTTCTTTTTCTTGTCTCTCTACTTCTCAATACCCATTTACTGTGTTTCTAGATGGATCTAAGGGCACTATAGCTAAACATCCACATACTATTAGGCTTAACATATTCCTCAATATCTACTGAATCTGCTGCACAAAGCAATTACAACAGAATGGCAAAGAGACTCTCGATCACCTCTTTCTGCTTATACCTGAATGTTCAGATTGAATTTCAAGAATTAGGAAGAAACACATCATCTATCAGATGACTAGAAATCACCACAGGACCACAAGAAGTATGGGAAAGCAAGAAAATACCTCTCCTCCAAGGGAAAAGAATAACTCCTCTTCACCCATAAGCAGTTCAGTGGAAATAATGGAAATGTCTGATAAAGAATTTAGAACATTCATAATGGCAAAGCTAACAGAGATGGAAGAGAAGAGACACAATGAACAGCAGAAGAGAAAGGAGAAAGAAGCTGATGAGTTCTAGGAGGTGAGGAAATTCTTGCAAGATCTAAAAGAGGAATTACACACTTTAAAAAAGAATCAAATGAAATTGTTAGAGATGAAAGCTATAATACAGGAAGTCAAAATCTCCCTTTAAAGTATTAAAAGCAGACTAGATCATACAGAAAGTAGAATCTCAGTCTTAGAAGAGAAAATTGCTGGTCTAGAAAAAAGACTGAGAAAATGGCCTAAAAATTTGAGAATAATATACAAGAAGTACTAGATACCATTAAACATTCAAACATCTGGATAATTGGCATCCCAGAAGGTGAAGAGACCCATAAGGGCATTGATAATCTATTCCATGAAAT